AGGCAGTTTTAGGTAAAAAATAATAGTCTTTTTACCTAACATGCACGAAGTAGTAAATATATCGGGACGTAGTAGCGATCATCATTCCCTGAGTTTGGCATACGACGAGACATGAACCGTAAACAGAATATTCAAAATGGTCATTGAATCCGAAAAGATCTCAAAGACATATCCATTTAAGATGAACAAAAACTCGCTTACCGAACGTGGTTTCCGATGTGCCTCGATCATTTTCAGATCATTTAAAAATCCGTAATCATCCGCATGAACATCACTACTACGGGGTTTTTTCGATTTGGCCACATCAAACGTCTTCGTGACCACGTTGCTTTCGCAGCCGGTGTCTCTGCGAAAGAGAGGTAGATTGAACGAGTGACTGAGTGAGACCAAGAGTAATCGTTGACATCATAAGCACGGTATTTTTTCTGCTATACTTGGTCTTAGAGCAAAATCAAACAAAATGGAGGAGAAATCCGTACGGATAATAAAAGGGAAATAGATGCGAAAAAGTTACCGTTCATTTACATGAACAGATGAAATACAGTAACCACAAATGCTACGAGAAACCAGTGTCGGTGGTGATACAGATTAAACATGAGTACCTATTTCGGCTTTCGACCCAAAAGTGCGCGATCTGAGTCCTGAAGGGAACAAAAAACGTAGGTTTATGACAAGTCATATACCACACTATGATTCCATTGAGAATAAATGCATTTCACTTGTGACGAGAATGAAAAAACTCCAAAGGAATTAAACCCACCGTATGAGATCATCTACAGCGCTTTGTGTGTGTGAAAATCGAACGGGCTATTCCAAGCACATTTTAAAATTTGTATGATAACGTGTAAACGAACGGAAGTTCGATTTGTAAACCTTTTTGAGCCACTTAGTTATTGGAGTTAAAGGGTTTGGGATGCATTTTTTCTCCATAGTGCAAAAAATATAGCCAAGTAATTGGTTGTATCGAGTACCAAAGCTTCAGTAATCTGACGAGGTAATGAAGGAAATACACTGGCATTTCGACTGAAGCATGTACATCTTCCCCAGAAGATATCCGCTCATCTGTCCACGATTGAACAGACGATGGAGCGGTTCGGTTAGTTCTACTTGTTGATTGTTCAATTCAGTTCACTTTTTACAACCATTAAGCATGCACTTTCGTGCGCCGGTTTTGGTTGCTGTCTTTTGGTTGCCCATTTGGATAAACGA